AGGTTCCCTCAACCCAGGTGTGTCAAGTTGACACTAAAGGTATCCAGCACAAACATAAAAATTTGTTCCATGTTAATTAGCAGAGGTGAAACACATTACCATTGAAATCTACTTGATGATTTTATATCCATGCTCAGGTGGGTCTCAGAAAGTAACCAACGGTCAATAGTAATAATCAGATACATAGAGATTAGAGACACATGTGCAAACATCTAAGTGTTAGTAGCATTAAAAATAAGTTTTTCTGTATGAAAAAGTATATTTTAAAATGAAATGGAGATCTTCTTTATAGGTTAAAACCTCATTCACTTTTATGTCTTGTAGGGTTTATTCCGAGTTCAATACCGTATAACTGTATTAATTCATCTGTGAACCTAAAAATTTACAGCCACTTTCGAAAGAGATGCTCTGGAAATTGTTATTGAATATGTTAATGCTGTAATGAAATGCTTCTTCTAATCATGTTGTTATTAAATAAATAATTTTTAAAAAGACATAATAATAGAGGATATGAAGTTGGGGTAGACTCAGGTGGATGGGGGAGGGGTCTGAGTATGATCAAATACATTGTATGAAATTCTTGGATAAACAAAAATTTTTAAAAAGGCATATACTTAAACTATAAAAAGATGTTTGGAGTCAATGATAAAGAAATCAGCACATTTAAACTATACCAAGATGCCTCTTCACATCTATTGCACAACTAGTCATGAAAAAATGGGCCCCACCACGACTGGAAGGACATTCACAGGAAGCTGTTGAGTTCCACCCGCCTGGGTCTGGACCATGGATCTCAGCACCTGAAGGACCTGTCCTCACAGGAAGAGCAGCCACTCCTGGGTCCACATCCTGGTGTCTGGGAGCACAGAGCTGTACAGCTGTGTAGAACAGCCCTTTCCAGGTTCCTGAAGGGCAGAGATGCTTGTTCTCAGTGTAAAACCTGCATCCTTCACTTTCACAGTAACTGCACTGTCATCTTCCCAAGCACACTGTATTCCAGGAGGAGGGTGAGAGACAGCCCCGAGGGGCTTTACGGAGCCCAGAACAGTGGCTTTCCAGAGCTGAAGGGTCAAAAGACACTGCTCCAAGTGCCCCAAAGGGCCTGGGGCACACATTAGTGGCTTTTCTGTGCCACAGGAAAGGACTAAGGTTTGTGGCTCACCTGGATAGACGCAGATGGGCTTGGTGTTGCTTGCCAAAGTTGCAGGTAAGTTATCTTAAATCTCTGTTTCTTCAACTGTCTTTATCTGAAAACCTTCTCTGGGACGTACTCCAAGGCGTATTATTGAAGATCCACAGCAAGCCAGACCTCAGACTAAGCACTTAGCCACATTAATTAATCATTATAACAAGGCGGAAAGTTTTGAGTTTTTGCCTGTGTTTCATGAAGGAGGAATCTGAGGGTCAGAGAACCAAAGAGACTTGCCTGAGATTCCAGAGCCAATGGAAGATTAAATCTTTAGTCTGCCAAGGGCCAGTGCTCAGGCCACACCCCTCTGTGGCTGCACCTTCTGAGCTCAGTGGAGAGAGATCTGGAAAACACATTTGCCCATTTGAAGGTGAATATAATACACTGTCGTTTGCTTTAATGGTCAGAGGAACGCTGAGTGGAAAGCAAAACCGTGGTGGGGGCCCAGAAGCTGCAATGCCCCGGCTTCCGCCCTCAAAGCTGTAGCTCTAAGAGGGCCTGGCATGAATCTGAAAAGTTTAATTTGTCTCATAAAAACATAATGCTGGCCCTTGTGTAAACTTCGTGAATGTTGCAAGTTCCTTTTAAAATAATTCTTGTGGCCAGAAATGATGACCCTTTATGCATGATCAGCAACTGTTTTTAGGCAAGCTGTTTACCCCCAACAGCTGGACTTTTAGAAAGAGATCCATTTACGGGTAAATTTTCCCCAAATTGCATCTCATAATAAACAACTCAAAACTTTTCTTAAAGAGTACTTTAAAGATTCAATATATTTTGTTAGATATGTGCCTAGGTCAGATAGAGTTTTCAAAGGATGAGAAGATCACACATTGTGTCATTCATTTTGTGTGAAATGCCCAGACTTTGTCAACCTGTGGAAACAGATTAGGGTTGCCAGGGGCTGGATGGGCTGGAAAGGGATGTGTCTGGCAAAACAGAGACTGCTCATAGGTATGAAATTTCTTTTAAAACAAAATGTTCTAAAATTATACTGTGGTTGCATAGCACAGACTATACTCAAAACCACCGACTTGCATGGTATATGAATTATATTGCAATAAAACTACCAAAATATTAATTTCCCCTAAAACAGATTGGTACACGCAATTTCAGTATTTTTTATATACTTTGTAATTTCTTTAGTGAATTCTGGTAAGAAAAGTCTATTTAACATACTTCCATGGAGATTCAAATGTTATACACGTTTGAATAAATCTTGTAAATGTTTCAGTTTTTACCCAGTCTTCAAAAGGTCTGAATTCTGGTTCCTAAACTTATTGAAAGCTGGAGAGATGCCTCCATAGGCAAGGTGCTTGCTGCACAAGCACAGGGACCTGAGTTCAAATCCCCAGCACCCACATAAAAGCTGGATGCAGCAGGTGCACGTCTCTGGAGGGAACAACAGGTGGATCCCTGCAGATCACTGGCCGGTTAATCCAGCTGAATCGTAGTTTTAGGTTCAGTAGAGAGCTGCTGTCTCAAGACACAGGTAGAGGAGAATGGAGGAACACACTTAATGGCCTCCACATGTGCTCACACAGGCAGCTAGACCCCGCCCCCCAAAACTTATTGAGTGATCTTAGGCAAGTTGTACAACTCTTCAAAAGCTAGTCCTTTTTACACACAAAGAAGATAATAGTGGTCCTGTAGCTTGCTTTGGAGTTAGGTGGGGTGATAGTTCCTGCTTTGTGCTCAGGATGGCCTGGCCATTTAGGAGTGTGTGGTGTGTGTGCCTCTACATACGAATTAGTACTGTAGGCTCTGTGATGACTATGACTGACATTGTTATGTTGATAGAGATAATGCTGAATCTGTAATTGCTTTGAGTTGCATAGACATGTTTTTGTTTGTTTGTTTGTTTTGAAAGAGGGTCCCCTGTATCCCAACTGGCCTAGGACTCACTATATAGACCAGGCTGGCCTCAATCTCGCAGAGATTCTCCTGCCTCTGCCTCCCAAGTGCTGGGATTAAAGTGTGAGCCACCACACCCACCAAGTTGTGTAGACATTTTAATAATAATTGACTTTTCTCATCCAAGAACACAGAATGCCTTTCTGCATTTTTTAATGTCCTCATTCATTTCTTTCATCCCTGCTTCATGGTTTTAACTTTAGAAATATTTCACCTCTTAGCTTAAATGTATTCTAGGATGGGGCTCTTTGTAGTTATTACAAATGAGATTTTTGATTCTTTCTCAGATAATTTAATGGACGTGTATGCATGGGTGTATGCCTGGGTATGCACACGTGTGCATGTACCCTTCAGGCCAGAAGAGGGCACTGGGTGCCCTAGAGTTGGAATTATAGGCAGCTGTGAACTGCCCGACCTGGGTGCTAGGAACTGAACTCCTGTCTAGCATGTGCTCTTTACTGCTGAGCCATCTCCCAACCCCCAGGATGACAGACTTTTGCACGCTGACTTCATGTCTTAAAATTTGAATTAATCAATGAGTTCTAACAGTTCTTTTATGTTTGTTTGGTAATATGGATATATTTTATTTTAAATTAATTTTTAGATAAAGTTTCATTATAGCATTTTCATATATGTGTGCCATTATCCTTTGTTCTAAGTCACCCCTCTGCCTACTCCAGTCCTTCCCTGCTCTGCTAGTCCTCTCCCTCCCACAGTGGTCCTAAATTCCACCTTCACTTCCCATGCATGCCACTAACCTATCTTATTGTAATGGTTGTTCTAAGAGGTGTCTTTTGTGGAGCCTTTAATCCTCTCATCTGTGGGACCCCATGGATAGAACTTGAGGTCATTCTGTTAGGTGAAGGTCCCCACATAGGCATGTGATTCATGGTCTGACTCTTGTGTGGAGCCTGTAGAAGTTCATCTGATGTGGTTGAGGGCAGAATAGTGGTCACAGGGGCTGAGGAGACCCACATGGAGTGTGGAGTCCAGGGGAGCCTGAGAGAGCGGTGAAGAAAGAGGAGGCAAGGGACTGAGCACAACTGAGCCTGAACCACAGATAAGTGAGTTCTGCCAGTCCACTGCACGGGATGAGGGCCAAGAACGGTGTCAATTCAAAACCTGACAGGAAAGGACTTTGAGTGCTTTCACTGCAAAACACAATGACAAAGAAGGACAGCATTTGAGGAGACAGAAGTGCCCACCATGATCTAAGCATCACACAGTGTGAAGAGGTCTCGAGACAACTCGTGGCACCATTTATATGTGACAATAATTTTTTAATTTTAAAATATTTTGTTTATAAAAATATTTTGTTAATTATTTTTATTTTATGTGCATGAGTATATTGCCTGCATGTATGTAAGTGCACCTGTGTCTTGCAGTGCCCACAGAGGAGGGCAGAAGCGGACATCAGATCCCCTGAACCTGAAGTTATGGATGGTTGTTAGTTGCCACATGGGTGCTGAGAACTGAACCTGGGTCCTCTGCAAGAACAGCCAGTGGTCTTAGTTCACTGACCTAGCTCTCCAGCCCCTCATATAGTACTATTATCTCTCTCTTTTTAAAATTAAAAAGTCAGGTTGTTCTTGCAGAAGACCCAGGTTCAAGTCCCCACATCTACATAGCAGCTAACAGTCATTCCTCACTCCTGTTCCAGGGGATCCAATGTCCTCTTCTGTCCTCTGCGGGCATTGTATGACATGGGTGCATGTACACACAGGCAAGCATAACACATAAAATAAATAAATAAATAAATAATAAATAAATAAATAATAAATAGTATTATGTGACCCCCCCATCTAACACACAGGCCATTTGCACAAACCCACACAACCAACACAACTTCCTCTTTAAGAAAGAGAAAAATACACACAGGATGCTGTGAGCACCCAGTATGAGAGAGAGGTCAATCATGTCCAGCATCTTCTGACCCATGTCTCTCTAGATATTCTCAAGGCTCCTTCTCACTGTGCTTCTGTTGACAAGGTCCCCTGGAAGAATCAACACTACAGTGTGAGGAAGAGATAAAGGGAGGCAATGGGTACTGCTCGCTGTATGAGCATGAGGGCCTGAGTTCTACCCCAGCACCACATTACAAAGCCTGTCACAATGCTTTGGGCCTGTGATCCCAGTGTTTAAAAAGGGGAGATGGGTGGACCCCTGAGCTTGCTGGCCAGCCAGTTAGCCAAAGGTGACTTCCAAGTTCAGTGAGAAACCCTGTCTCAAAAACAAAGTGGAGGGCTTAAGATGAATGTCCCCATATTATCCTTTGGCTTCCACACAAACGAGCACACATGTGCATGCATACCCCCACACACATGTGCACACAAAGTAAAAAGATCAATAAAGATCTGGTACAAGAATCTACGTAGTACCAAAGAGAGTGATAGGAAATCCAGAAGCTGCTTTGATTGTCCACATTGGTCATAAAAACCATAAATGGTCTAGGCTGGCAGTTAATTTATAGCTTTAATATTTACAAAGGATGTCTAACAAAGATATCAAACTTATACTCAGCAGAGCTATCTACCATAGTTAAAGGAGAAATAAAAGCCTTTCATGATAAAAACAGATAAAAGGAATCCATAACCATTAAACTTACTCTACAAAGTAGATTGAGAGGAATACTTTGGGCAAAGAGAAAGATAAACATATTCAAGAGACCACAGGGAGAATCAAACAATACAGTTCATCAAAGGAGGTCTGAGACAACATCATAAGAGGGACAGAATGACATAAATTAATGCATATCTTTCAATGGTAACTTTGAATAATAATGGTCTCAATTTCCCCAATAAAAAGAAACAGACCATCAGATTGGATTAGAAAACAGAAACTATCTTTTTGCTGCCCCCAAGAAACATACCTCACCACTAAAGACAAACACCACCTTAGGATAAAAGGGTGGAGAACGGTACCCCCCCAAAAAAAACTGAACTAGGAACAAGCAAGTATAGCTATTCTGACACCTGAAAAAAATAGACTTCACACCAAAGCAAACAGAAGAGATAAGGTGGGTCACTTCATCCTTATTAATGGAAAAATTCATCAAGAGGATATTAAAATTCTATATGTATATGCACCAAAACAGGTGTACTCAATTTCATAAAGCAAATACTAATAGATATAAAGTCATATATTAACCCCCAAATGATTATAGTGAATGACTTAAAGGCCCCATTCTTACCAATAGGTCTTTCAGACAAAAAAATTATAAAAAAATATTACAACTAAATTACTTCATAAATCAAATGGACCTAACAGGTATCTATATAGCATTCCACTCAAACACTAAAGATTACACATTTTTCTCAGCAGCCCATGAA